CAGGAGTGAGATGTCCAACTTCAGGATCGAGACCCCCAGTCTAGAAGGTAGACCTCCAGGAGTGAGAGCCTCAGTCCAGGAATGAGACCCCCAGCGTAAGAGCGGGGCCTCCAGAAGCAAGATCTCCAGGGCTGAGACCTGTGGACTAGGAGTAAGACCCCCTCAGTCTAGGAGTGAGACTCCTTGTTTAGGAGTGAGACTCCCAGGAGTGAGACCCTCATTTGAGAAACAATATCCCTGGTCTAGGATTGAGACCCCTGGTTTAGGAGTTAAGACCCCCCAGTCCAAGAACAAGACTCTTGTCCAGGAGGGAGAGCCCAGTCCAGGAGGGAGAGCCCAGTCCAGGAGGAAGAGTCCAGTCCCGAATGAGGGCAAGCCTGAGAGCAGGACATGCAGAATCAGGAGACCTGCAGTTGGCTGGGGGCCAGGGGAGGGGTCTGTCTGCAGGGGTAGCAAGGCGTGGGGAGGACTAGTGTCCTGGATTGAATTATGTCCCATCCCCTTCCCCCCGCCCCCAAATCCGTGTGATGTGGCTGGCCTCCAGTTCTCAATGGCTTGGCAGTACGTGATGATGTAATCACCTCCCGGAGGTGACCAGCCCTGCCTGACCCGATGGGATTACCTGTCAACATTTGCTTCTGTAATCTACAGGATTAGGTGGACCTTGAGTCAAACCTCTTTTGAGGTATGTTGTTGTTAAGTGCTGTCGAGTCAATTCCAACCCATAGTGACACTGTATAGGGTTTCCGAGGAGCGGCTGATGAGCTTGAACTGCCAACCTTGTGGTTAAAACTGACTTTGCAGTCCAGTGTGTTAACCCAGAGCTCCACACTACACACCAGGGCTCCCTTTTGAGGTATAAAAGGAATTAAACAGGTAAGCAATGCTTAGAGGGACCTACTATCAAGAAAAGAATAGGATTCAGCCCTTTGGACCTAGGGTTGTTGTTAGTCAGTTCTTCCTCACAGAGACCTTAATGCACAACCAGAAAACAAACAAACAAAACCCACCTGGACCTTGGGCTTCTCCTTTCAGTACCATGGGCTCTTCTTGATCATACGCTATTGCTTGAAATAGTTGAACATCAACCATTTCTTTTTGGTACAATGACTCTGTATTCCTTTCATCTTCTTTTAATGCTTTCTGCTTCATTTATTCAATATTTTGTCCATAAAATTCTTTATTATTGCAAGTCGAGGTTTGTATTTTTCCTTCCATTCTTCCAGCCTGAGAAACGCTGAGTGTGCTCTTCCGTTTTGGTTTTCTAACTCCAGGTCTTTGCACTTTTCATTGTAATACTTGAATTTTTTCTTCTCGAGCAGCCCTTTGAAACCTTCTGTTCAGCTCTTTTACCTCATTTCTTCCACTTGCGTTAGCATCTCTATGCTGGAGAGTAAGTTTCAGAGTCTCGTCTGACATCCATTTTGGTCTTTTCCGTCTTTCTTAACTTCTTAATGACCTTTTTTTGTTTTCTTCCTGTAGGATGTTCTGTGTGTGTGTGTGTGAATTGAGTGATAGTTTACATTAGTTTTACACTCGTCGTTTCATTGCAATGATTACAATCCCTTCCCCAGGCATCATCATTCAACAGTATTTTCTTCCATTCCCTCTGTTTTTTTGTTTTTGCTTGGGGGGGAGGGGATATGCACAAAAACACTCAGGAATATATAATCATTTAAACAACTAATGGGCACATTCAAGCCTGCCTCCTGGCCACCAGCACACAGCCTTTCTCTTTTCATGAGTCTAGAGTCCTCGGCTGCTCTCTTTCTCCATGTCCTCATCTCTGCCTCCATCTCTGGTGTCGCTGCTTCTCTGGATAGAGTCCCACATTCCGCTCTTGCTCGTCTCCTGTTATGGTCCTAGGGTCCTCTGTTCCTGGACTGTAAGATTAACTACTGTCCCCATTATGTTACAAAACTTCTACCTTTACAGTTGTGACAGCCACAATTAGTCATCATAACAATGACTCACTGTTGAATCATAAGAGTCTTATCTCCATCTCTTTTCACCAGACCTGTCTAGACAAGATGAAAACTATTCAGTGGGGGTTCTAACTTCCCCAGCACACTCTAAAACTAATCTCCCTCTTGAAAACTTGTAAGCCAGTCACTTCGTGCCTTTACAGTCCCCCGTCCCCCCATTTTAGGTAGCCAATGTCTAAGTTGCCTGTCCCTATCACCTCTGTGTACAGAGGAAGTAGGATGAAAATTTCTTCCCTCTCAGTTGGTATTTTAAGTTACTACATCCATAAGTATAAGGAGCTCTGATAGCGTAGTGGCTATGAATCGGGATGCTAACCTCAGGGTCAGCAGTTCGAAACTACCAGCTGTTCCGCAGGAGAAAAATGAGGCTTTCTGCTCACATAAAGATTTACAGCCTCAGAAACCCTGTACAGGGTCACTATGAGTTGGAATCAACTCCATGGCACATAACAACAACAACAACATCTGTAAGTATAGGTCAAGTTCATCAAATTGTAGCAATTTACACTTGTTTCCTTTATTAAATTTTTTTATCCTGTATGATGTCCTTGATGTCATCCCACAACTCTTCTGGTCTTCGGGCTTTAGTGTCTAAAGCATCAAATGTGTTCTTCAGATAATATCTAAATTCAGGTGGGATATGTTCAAGGTCATATTTTGACTCTCTTGACTTGTTTTAATTTTCTACAGCTTCAACCTGAACTTGCATATAAGCAATTGATGGTCTGTTCCACAGTCTGCCCCTGGCCTTGTTTTGACTGATGATATGGAGCTTTTCCACGATGTCTTTCCACAGATGGAGTCAATTTGATTTCTGTGTATTCCATCTGGTGAGGTCCATGTGTACAGTCATATTTTATGTTATTTAAAAAGCGTATTTCTAATAAAAAAGTCATTGGTCAAATTCTAAGATGCTATCTCCAGCATCATTTCTCTTACCAAGGCCATATTTTTTCAATTACTCATCTTTTTCAACTTTGTTTCCAACCTTCTCATTCCAAGCACGGGTAATTATCAATACACCTTGATTGCAAGTCTGATCAATTTCAGACTGAAGAAATTGGTAGAATTCTTCAATTTCATCATCACTGGCTTTAGTGGTTGGTCTTCCTTGTAGGTGTATGGATGTCACAGACAGTGTAATACTTCAAGAGAGAGCTTGCAATGTTCTTTTTGATGATGAATGCAATGCCATTCCTTTACAATGTGTCATTCCAGTGTATTAACCCACATGACTGTCACATGACAAATGGCCAGTGGATGCCACTGCTGGGATTGAACTGTCAGTGGCAGAGATTTCAGCTTCACAGCGACACGTATGCCTCCACTGTGCGACCAAGTGACAGACAAGAAGCTCCTAGGTCCAGGAAAAGATTGAGGCCAAGACACATGGATCTACAGATGCTGAACGGAGACAAAGACCCAGAGTTGACGAACACGGACCTTCCCTGAGATCCGGCTTTGAATTTGGACTTCTAATATGCTAAACTGTGAGAAAATGCATTTCTGTTTGTTAAAACCACCCCTTTGTGGTTGTTCTAAGAGCAGGAGATAAGTAAGACAATCAGTCTCCAGCACAAGTCCTTGGAGTCCCTTTGAGCCACAGCCCTGCTGCCTCCAAGCCTCCGTAGAACTTCCTCAATTCAGCAGTTGCTGCTTCCTCACCTGCAGAGAGCACTGTCAATCTTTCAGAGGCATTTCATGATTGGATTGTGGGACTAATACTGGGGGTGCTGACAGATAAAGAGTCAGAGGACAGCTGGCTGAGGTCAGCTCAGACTCCCAGGCCAGTGGGAATGACCTGGTGAGCAGTGAGGTGCAGGCTGGATGGAAATTTGAGGGTAGCCCCCCATTACCCTTACGGAGGAGACAGTCCCCCGCTGAGAGTCTGAAGACAGGCTGGGGGCAGGGCAGAGGGAAAGGCATCCTGTTCCTGCCTGGACCTAGGAGGTCACTTCAGGACTGGTGGGCTGTTACTTCCTCCCCACCCACCCCAGCTTCCCTCTAAGACACACTCGGCTGGCTTGCTGCACCCCTCTCTACTGCAAGCTCCCAACCCCAGCACCTGGGTCAAGTCTGGGCTCTGAGCCCACCTCCCCAGCACCCCCACAGAGCAGCTCCAGGGACCCTCACAGCTGGGGGGTGGCAGAGAGAGCCAAAATGGTGCCAGGAAATCAATTCTCCTTGAGGACCTGGTGGAGGCCAACTTGAGCCCAGGCTCCACTGGCCCCACACATATATAAGAATACACCTCCACCTCCAAAATCAAAACTGAATATCATTAAGCCTCTAAGTGCATTTTCAGATTAGCAGGAAATGCTGAGGAAAGCGTTTGTGTGCTTATGGGGATCTGGAAACTGTTGAGATGCAATCAGCAAAATCCTAATGCAAAGACATTTCATGAGACAGGGACCTGCTTTCTTCTAAAAACAAAGTGCCAGGTTTGGAATGGAAGAAACTCAGACCACATAGAATAGGAAGGGGTTGGCAGCTTCTGGAGGAGGTGGGGGGGGGGGGGGGGGAAGGGGTAGAACTGGGAGCACTGGGGTGCTGGCAGGCCTTTGCAGATGGACGTAATGTTTATCATAGAGCTGTTACTCTGAGATTTGTTGAATGAAGTCTTCTGCATACAGAGGTGGTCTTTGTATACTGGGATTTTGAAGGACGTGGTGACCCTTTTGAGAATGTGGGGTTAGTGAGTGCTGAACCCTGGGCTCTGGGAGGATGAGTGGACTGTTCACTGGCTGGTGAACAGGGGTTGGGTACGGGGCTCACCTCCTGCCCTATAAACAGGGTCCCCTCTGCTCGGGTCCATCCCCACTGCCACAACATAGTCCATCCAAAGAAGAGACATGCCACCCCCAGAACTGGGTCAGACCCACAAGGTCTTTATTGCAGGGCACAGTGGCTGTCCGCTGGGGCGCTGACCACAGGTGGACGTGGAGGTCCTCGGGAAAGACAAGGTGGACCAGGTCAGTCATCTGAGCACCCAGTCAGCCTGGGCCTGAGGGGGTATCACCAGCTCAGGACCCCAGGGCAGTACTTATCGATGAGTCCCTGGTAATAGGGCCTCAGCTTGTCCACATCCGGCAGCTCGGGGCATTTGGTGTAAAGATCAAACTTGCTGCAGGGGGTGAGACTCAATGAGGCCAGAGGACTTGCCTCCCCTCCCTTCCCTTCTCCTCCCCCTCCCCACTGCCCACTGCCCACTGGTCGCACTTGAACTCCTGCACCCAGGGAAGCATGACCAGGTCCTGCTCGCTGCAAAGCTGCCGGTAGTCACCCCCGGTGTGCCACGGGTAGAAGGAGTGGAACCGGATGATGTAGAAGGCCTAGAAGTGAACACATCCAGCATGCTGTCTGCTCGTGGGAGGTGTAACGCACAAAGGTGACAGGGACTGGGCTGGCCTGGGTTAGGCTCCTAATCTGAAACCCCCTACCTCCGGAGGGAGGGAGAACTTGTTGAACTTCATCACCTGGTACATGTACTCTGAGGAAGAGAAGATATCATTGTCAGACCCCAGCCCTGAGGATGGTCACCCGTCCAGGGTGGTCACCCGTCCTTTCCCGTGCCTGTCACCTCACCGTCATGACCCCAGGACATGAGGACATTCCCGAGTCCACAGTGAGGCTGGTACATACCGAGCTCCGTACTGCAGAGAGACTAGGGTCAGGGGGCTACGAGTCCCCTGAGGAGGGAGGAACTGAGGGTGGGGTTGGGGGCACCTGTATCTAGGATCCTGGAGGTCGGGATTGTCCTGAAAAGTTGAGTCTCGGAAAACCACAGAACCCTGGGGACGGCAGCCGACGGGGAAAGTGTCTCCAACAACAGCCCACTGAGGACAGGCAGCCCGGTGAGCCTGGGCCTCGCTGTCCCAAGCCCAACCAGGCTGCCCATCCAGGTCTCAGCCTCACCTGAGGCTCACCAGCCAGGGCTAGTACCTTCCCTAGGTCATGCAGCAACCCAACCAGGTGGAACCAGTCTGAGAGGAGACAGGACAGAGCTGGGGTTCAGGGCCGGGCTTTCCAATCCAAGACCCTGGCTGATCCTGGATACAGCCCACCCATCCCCCTTGGGGTAGGGCACACCCTTGTCGGGGTGGGCCCTCCGGATGCCCTCTGCAGTCTGGTAGGCATGGAAGGAGTTGGGAAAGTCCACATCTGGGTCTGACTCATCTACCAGCTGGTCCAACATGTCCACCACCTCGAGCACGGTCATCTTCTTGTAGGAAAAGTCCCCAAACTGAGCATGCTGGGCCAAAGAAGGGTACCAACACAGCTGCAGGCAGGCTGGACCCTCAGGACCACCACCAGAGCCGACCCTGTTTAGAAGGTGAGGGTGCACCCACCGGCCATACCTTCCCCCTGACAAAGTCCACTGTCTGATGCGTGTGCATGAGCTTGTAGGTGGCAAAGACACGATCCAAGAGCGGGCCCGACTGCAAAACCACGGGTCAGCCTGGCCACTCAGCCTTCCTGCCCCTCTGAGCCCTCACAGCCAGGCCCTGCAGGATGTGAGTGGGGCAGCACCCCCCAGCCCCCCAACTCCAAGAGAGGGACTTCCCAATGGTGCCCCTGGAGTCCTTTGGAGCGATGCTGCTCTCCCTGTACCAGGAACTGAGGCACTGCTTAGGGGTGGGTGTGGGAGGGGGTCTCACAGTGTAGTTTCGGAAGTTGTTCTTGTCCTTGACCGTCTCTGGGTCCACATTCCGTGGGTAGACCAGGGAAGTGTTTGGGTCCTGGGGAGGGCAGTAACCTGTCTGGTTCTTATACCAGCTCCATGAGGAAGTGAGGGCATCCCCGGGAACCCTGCTGAGGCTGGGGGTGGGTGGCAGAGCGCAGCCCTCCTCGACATCGTTCTGTCCTCCTGGTCTGTTGCCTACTGAGATACCAACTCAGCCCACAGTGTGATGGTCTGACTCCTTCAGCACAGGAAGTAAGAGCTGCCCTGGAGAGAGCCCTGAGCCATGGCTGACCCTTGCCCCAGCTGGACCAACACAGGCAGTAGGGAGCACTTTGACCAGCTGGGTGGAATGGAGCAGCGTGAGGGGGCAGGGAGCTGCTTCTGTGTGGGGTCCCAGCGGCACTTACCACAGCCACCTTCATTCTGAGAGGGAGCAGGGCGAAGATGAGCAAGAGGCCCCCAGGTCCAGGGCCCTATATACACTGGTAGGTTACATAAGTGACCCGGCACCACCCAGCCCCTTGGCCTTGGCCCTTGATAATGAGTGACCATCTGCCCTCCCGCCTGGTCTCAACAAGTTAATGTGTCAGCTCAGGAGTAGCCCCCAGCCACCTCAGCAACCCCTCCCTGAGCTCCCCCACGTCATTCTGCCACTGTGCCCCCACAACCAGGGCAAGAAGGCCTGCTCACCACTGGCCCCCTCCCCATTATCCCCCCCCCTCTGAGAGTGGAGGGCTATGACTGGGGTGAGGATTTGGGATGTGAACACCAGTCAGGAATGGAGCCCACAACCTGACCAAACCCACAGGGACCAGACACGAGATGAGATTGAAGGAGGCATGTGATTCTGGAGACAGCAGGGAGGGGGAGGCCTGGCAGGCATGGGGTGGATGGAGCCTCGGATACCCCAGAGAGCTGACCAAGTGTGGGACCACCGGCCGCTCCCAGGGTCTGTGAGCAGAGCACTGACTTGGGGCTCCCATAGATCAGAGGTTGTGATAAAGGTGTTATCCAACTAAAGTTCAACAGGTTCTTGCAGAAGTTGTGCTGAGAATTAATGAGGGGACCCCAGCACCCCCATTGAAAACAGCTCCCACTTCTACAAACCCCTACCTGAGTGCTGTATCCCTGACTTCAGCTTGACCTGTTTGCCTCTCTAGGCCTCCCCCCGCCCCCAGATCATCTGCCCCAGGAGGACAGGACTGCTTCAGGGTGTCCTGATGTGTCCCTGGTACACACCTGCAAGAGTCTACTGGATGGATGGAGACATGGACCCTACGGAGGGCTGGGGCAATCTTGGATGGAGCAGGTGATGGTGACCAGTCCCCAGGTGAGTCTTTGAGGTAGAGCCGCTAGGTTTGGAGTGAGCGTACGAGCCACCCATGGGGTGGGCTCTAGGCAGGGGACTGGGAGTGGATGGTTGTAAGCTGGGCGAACTATGAGGAGCGAACAACAGGGGTTGGTCCTTGGTCCTTGCGGCTCAGCAAGAGCTAGGCAGAATCCCTGGGCTGTAATCCCTGCACCCCCAGAAAGGAAGATGGGTGCTGCCTTCATGTGCACACACCCATGGGTATGTGCCTCCATACATGTGCGTGTTGATGCATGTGCACATGTTCACACATTGCCTGTGTGCGCACACTTGTGTATACCCCTGATGTGCAGGTAGAAGGTACTCCTGAAAGAAGGAACAATGTGTGCTAAGGAACTAACTCGATACAGGCCACAGGACACTGGGCATTCCCAGGAGGAAGTGCCAGGCTGGACTTTACTCCAGGGGCCAGGGGAGCCCGGGAGGGTCTTGGCAAAGCTGAGTGTCAGACGCTGAACACCTGACTTCCCCCCCTGCTCCTCCTGGACTCCTGCCCCTCATCTTCTGTCCCCTTTGCCCTGCCCAGTGCATGTCCACGTAGCCACACTTCAACCTCCTTGTTGCTCCCTTACCCAACTCTCACCATCTAAAAAACACCAATCGTGGCCTGCCTCTTTCATACCATGAGAGGCCACAAAGCATGTGTCTTCCAGGCCAGGTCCCTGCCTCTTCAGCCCTAACTCAGCCCAGGGCTCCAGCCTTGCTTAGCAACCAGACTACCCCAACCCCATGACCCCTGGGCTCCTTCCCCTGGCCCCACCTAGGCTGCTGCCTCCTCTTCACAGCTCAGAGCACCCTGGACTGTAACACCTAGTCAGTGGCAGATGCTCCGGGCACTGAGGGTGAGTTCCGGAGTGCTCTAAAGTGGGGGTAAAGAAGCGTCCCCTCAGGGGCCGATGTAGATGAAGTGCTCTGTGAGCAAAGCCTGGGGTCTCTGGGGGTTGTATGGGGTGTCATCAGGGCTTGGGTGACAGGGAACAGACACAGAGCAAGAACCGTCCACACACTGGCTGCACTCATTGTTTTTATTGTCATTTTTTTATTTCTTGAGGTTCCAGCCGGGGCCGTGCTCAGCAGGGAAGGCCTGCTCAGGCTCCCGCTGTCCCCTGCTGACCCACTGAGGCCTCAACACCCTTGAGGTGGCAGGGGGCTTTGACTGAGTTTATCTACTTAGGGGGATCCTCTACTCTGGGGTGGCAGAAGGGGGAAGCTGAGACACCTGGGAGGACTTGCAAAAAGGGGCTTTGATCCAACAGTACGACTTAGGGATGGGGCTACATCTAGTCTCCCCTGGCCCTGGGTATTCCACACAGGCTCTGTTCCACACGGGTCCAGGGAGGGACTATCCACATGCACGTGGGTGCAGAAGGTTGGGGTGTGGGGTGAGCTCTTCTGGGGCCTGTAGCATCGGACAGAGCAGGTGGGGTGTGGCTCAGTTCAGCTCAGCCATAGCTGTGAGGGCTCCTGGGGTCCACAGGGACTAAGTCCAGTCGCTTGGCTTGCTCCTTAAGATGCCACAGTTGGCGGGTAAGTTTCCATGCCAGGCAGGTCTGCATCATGCAGCTCACCTCTGTGCGGCTGGCTCAGGCTCTCTGGGGGTCTGGGTATTGAGGGCGTTGGTGGTGGGACGGAGACTTGCTCATGATGGAGTCCTGAGGCTGAGGATGCAGGCTGCTGGACCTGGTCCCAGCCAGAGGTTCCCTGCACAAGGGTGGGGAGGAAACCAGATGACCCAGCCTTTAGGAGCTCCAGACCCACCCACTTTCCTTCCACCCAGGCCCGGGGTCACCGCAGGTGGAGCCCACAGTCCCTTTTCGGGCTCAGGGTCTGGGTCTTGGCCATTCAGACATGGCAGTTGTCCCAGGTTGCACGGCTTACTAATCGGTGCCTCCCCAGGTTAGGGGACCCAGACCTCTGTGGGTCACCACTCGTGACTTGGGTGACTCCTGAGCCCATCACTTCAGCCTCCCTTTCCCCAGGATCCCGTCTTGTTGGGGAGGGTGGTAGGGAACAAGGACACCTATAACTTAGCTCACTCTGCTAAAGGCCTGGGGGAGTTGGCCCTTGACTGGGGGTTCCCCAGGCATCCTGGCCCCCTGCCGCCGCAGGGCCAAGACTGAGGCTGCTCCACCTCTACTCACCAGGGTGGGTTCAAGGCCCTGACCCACCTTATGCTTTTGGACAGGGCGCTGTGGAGCTGCAGGCACAGAAGGCTGATAATCAGGAGCCATACCATGATGGGTCAGGGAGGAGCAGGCGGTGATGGTGATGGGGGTCGTGCGGTGCCCCACAGAGCCTTGCCCTACCCCTAGAGAGCACTCCATGGTCGGGAAAGCTGGGTGGTGGCGGGCAGGTTAGGTGCTTCGGAGCTCCCAGTCTTATAGTTGAATCGGGTCGGGAGGTCGCGGAAAACGGTAGCAGTCAGTTGGAGATGGAGGCTCTTGTCTGGTTCAGCGCAACTCACAGCGCTCCGACAGCTAGTGTATTTCAGGGGGCGGGACCAGGCACCCAAGTGGGCGGGGCGCTCCTCCTCAGGCCCCGCCCCGGGGATGAAATCCTGGTCAGACGGAAGGGCTCCCCATAGGACCACTCCTCACTCCTTGTAGGTGGACAAACCCTTCCCTGCGCACCTCGGCCCTGGGCCCCCTGAATGTGGCCGGGTTCTGAAGACGGGGTGAGGGTGGAATTGGGTATCAATCAAGCTGGTCATTCCGTTCCCTACGGAGGCAATTTCGGTACCGGAAACCCTGTACAGGGTCGTTCAGAATGGGAACCAACTGGACGCCACTTAACAGCCAACAAGGGTGATCCTCTAAGAAGCCCTGGTAGCGCTGTGGGTTAAGAGTTAGGCTAATAACAGTAAAGGTTGGCAGTTCGAAACCCCCAGCTGTCCAGTGGGATGAAGATGAAGCTGTCAGCTCCCTACAGCCTTGGACACCCTCTGGAGCAGTTGAACCCTGTTCTATAGGGTAACTGAGTCAGAATGGACTGATGGCAGTCGGTTTGGTCTGATCCAGCAGGATCCTTGCAAGGTTGTATTCGAAAAAGGTCTACTCTTCTCCCTACAACCAAAGTATCAAATGTTTTCTGTAAGAAATTCTATAAAATAAAAGGTGTGGACCGCCACTCACTGTCCCGAGGGTGGGTTCCTTTGTGTGTGCTGGGTTTTAGTGGTTGAGCTTCCTGGTCTTGTTTGGGGGAGGGCCTTTTGCGTTACACATAAAAATATGTGCAACTCTAAAGACCCCCACTGTTTCGCGGAGAAAGATGAGGCGTTCTGCTCCCGTAAAGATTTACAGCCTCGGAAACCCTGTGAGTCGGAAGCGCATATGAGTGGGAACCGACTCCACGGTACTTAAATGCTACATCCTATTAAAGTACTGGACTCCTGGTGTGGCTCTGTAGGGTCAGCCCTGGACTGCAAACCACAGGGTTGGCAGTTCAAACCCACCAGCTACTCCCCAGAAACCCTATACAGGATCGCTCTGAGTTGAAACTGACTTGACAACACTTAACAACAACAATAAAATCACTATCATTTAGGGTTAACCTAACTCATGCCCTGTTTGCCCTGTTTCTCACCCCAACTTCTGTGGAATTTTTATAAATTTTATATTGTGCTCCAGATCTCTGGACAATTCTGCCAGGAGGATTGTTAAATCATGAAGACTTGCTTGTACAGCACAAGTGCTAATCTATTGTTTTGTCTGACGGTTATGGTCAACACATCTTGTGATTATCTTCTAACCTGTGTAAGGTAAAACACCTGGGAAAGTACCTGAACTCCCAGAGTGCTGCATTCCAGTGTAAAAGCATAAAAATTGTCTTCTGATCCCAATCGGATATAAAGCCTGAAGCACTCACTAATCTATGCCAAGAAATTTGGTAGATAGTGACCAGCTGACTGAAAGGGCCCTGTATTTGTGCCCATTCCAAAGAAAGGTGACCCTACAGAATGCGGAAATTATCAAACAATATCATGCACAAGTAAAACTTTGCCGAAGAGAATTAAAAAATGGTTGCAGCAATATATCAATAGGGAGCTGCCAGATT